GCAGTGAAAACTACACATGATTTACAGTTTAGGAGGAAAGGGGGTGAAGAAGAGTGATAGAGACGAGGAGGGAGGGGGGGAGCTGAGCCAGCAGCTCCTGCAGAACACCTTAAACCCAGACAACTGGCAAATATGAAAGCCTTAAAACTCTAACCCTAGTTATCTCTTTTTAGAAACACCTTTCCAAGCCCTTTCATTCTCCTTTCCATTAGCTCTTCAACTTCAGCTCTATCTTTTCTACTTTACCTTTACCGTGAAAAATAAAACTCCTTTCAAGTTACACTCTTTGAGATTGGTAGAGAGCTCCCAGGTCACTGCAGATCACTCAGCTGCTGAGTTAAATTTTCAGTTCCCGCCTGTATCACTGCAGCGACACGACTTCTCTCCACCTCACCTGTCTGCCTGTTAGTGGCTACAGACTGAAGAGAAATGTGCAGCTCAAAATGTACGATTCACAGCACAGAGGCTCTTCCATTTGTGATGTAAACTTTTTACTTCTTATTCTATTTGAATTGTGACCGCCGTTGATGTAATTACACTTTACCTACCAATTTCCGTCTGGTCACTAACATGGCCATAGACATTTTAAACAGAACTGCAATTTTGTTTTCTACATTATTCATTAAGAAGTGGAACCGCAGTTAAATGTTTAACCACTTGCCATCTTGGCCACAGGTAAATAACTTGTGTCAATAATGAATGCAGTGACTCGCTGCTTCCCCAGGTCTTTTATTTGAGTAAAATGTGATAAGAACTGATACTAACAATAGACATAACTATGCAAATGAAGCCCAGACTGAACTTACAGTATACTTTCTTTAAAACATTCCCTAACAATTCTGAAATGTGTTGTTATAATTTTAGACAGTCGCATATGTGTTAATTATTTTCCTTTTCCATTTTCTTTGTTATCTCTTCATTCATTCATTATTCATTCCCTCATTCTTTGCATAATATTCAAGGTAGATTAGAGGATTTCTTTCTTTCACTATGTCTTCTTCCAAAATTTTGCCAATAGCCCACACACACACACACACACACACACACACACACACACACACTCTGGGAGCGGACTGAATGTATTCATACACACAAAGACGGTTTCACTTGCGGATCAACTTACTGCACCTCTCAATCTGAACTCACAACGTCAGAAAGTGGACGTCGTCCATACAAGCCTTTTCATTTTAGGGAAATAACAAGGACACACTCACACAACTACACACAACACACACACACACACACCTCTATATTCACTCATATTTCTTCTCATTCAGTAACAGTGATTTGATTGAATGCTGAGACATGGTGAAGTGAAAACCAGCAGCTGTGTGTTACACAGTTTAGGTTATCCTGACTGAAGGTTTGTAAGACCTTTTTAAGACCTCTTAAAGCTGGATATTAGTCACATCTATTAACCATATCTTTTAACACTTTCCACAGCAGAGCACTCTATAATCATTTCTTGTTAAGTTTGAGTAGTCTAAGTTGTACTTTGTCAGTCTGAGTCTTTGCTTGAACTTATCATTATGATGTAAATGCTGATCGCACGACGTAATGGCGAGAGAATAATGACACCATCAGCGTCCAGATTGGTTCCCTATAAGCGTCACTTCCACTGTGCAATCCTGTCTGCCAGTCTGCCCGGGAAAAATGATTGAATGATGATTCTGACGTTGTGCAACCCAAAACAGGAAGAGGATAGCAGTGCTACCTGTAGCTTTCCCCAGGTAGCAGAAAGGGCGGACGGTGGAACAACCAGAGTAACTGTGGAAACTCCATTGTTTGAGGAGGCAAAGAAGCGAAGAGGGAGAGTGATAGAAACTGAGGTAAAACTAGAGTGAACCTCACTAGGAAAGAGCTCCAGGACCCGAGACATTATCTCTAGTGGATCAATGAGACACGTGCATACTTATCAATACAACCTGGTGCTTTACTCTGCCTTTATCATGAGACTGAGAGAAGGGTTTCTACTTCTAACTGGGATCCATGCTTGGCCCTGAGGAAAACAGAAAGCCATCCAGTGTTTGTGACAGCGGCGCCACAACAGTAATACCATTTGAAAATGTTAGAAATGATTTGCATGGCAAGATATAGCCTGCTAACTCTTACACAAACAAGCTAACTTAAGCCTGTAAGCATGTCATGTCAGCACTGACATGAAAACATAGCTATAACCTAGGAACAAAAGGAAGTTTAAACGGGTGCCTCAAGAGAAAAGGAAATGAATGAGCAACACAGCTAGCATGGACAGATTTCTACCATTTCAGTGGGAAAAATTCAACAACTGAGACAACTGCTTTGTCAAACAGTCAGGAGGCGACTCAGCATTACATATGACCCAAAGGCCCAAAGTCTTTTTTTCTCTCAACTTGGCGTAGCTCCTGTGCTGCAGAGCAAGTCTGAAATATCGTGAAACAAATGTTGCCTCTACATGAGCGGCATGAGCTGCTTCTCGTGTTTCTGAGAAGAGTCCAGATGAACAACCGATACTCTTAGCTCTTTGACATACATATATATATATATATATATATATATATATAAATCTCTGTGCCACAGCTGCGCCACAGGACTGTAACAGAACCTGTTTGTTCCTGGCAGTCGGTCTATGCATGACACAGGAGCTCAGCCTGGTGGAGAAAATTTATGCTTAATTCACTCGTGAGCTTTTTGTTTTAAGGTAACACAGGAGACGGCGCTGGGATACTTGTAAAAGAGACAGAAACCCACAGCGGGAGAGAGGAGAGCAAGACTGACACAGAGACAGAATTAAAGACGGAGGATAAAAAAAACACAGACAAAGCTGAGTGTTTTTTTCTCCGACTTAAGAGATTTTCCTTAGGAGCACATTTCATTTAGTATCTGAATGGATGACTTGCCTGCTAAGCAACTCTTTTTTCCCTTTCCACTCTATTTGTCCTGCCTCTCTCGCTCTCTCTCGCTCTCTCTCTCTCTCTCTCTCTCCAGTTGATTATACATTTGTGTCAGGCGCAGGCAGAGGCTGATGTGACGGCTGCTTAATGGAAAGGTAAGAAAGCACAAACAGAACATTTCTTTCCATCTCATCCAGGCTGCCTGGCTCAGAAATCACTTATGTCAGCTGACTACATGCCCATGTCCCATACTTACGGACAAACACACCAAAAACAATCATGGCAGTTACACACACACACACACACACACACACACACACTCATATGCATACTAAACTGCAGCCGTAAATACACACAAACACACGTCCGTACTATATTTGCTGGATTCCTTCTCCGACCTTTACATCCCTCTCATCATATCATGTGACACCGTCTACTGACGTAACCATCAGTACACCTTTCCTCCTCCTTCCCTTTGTTTCTCTCCATCCTTGCATTCTGTCTGTCTCTTTCTCACAGCTTCACTTTCCTCTTCGTTCCCCCGTCTCTGTTGTTTACCTAACGCCCCCCCCCTCCCTCTATCTTCACCTCAGAGTGAATTTCAGTCAGTCAGTCAGTCATATCTCTGCCTTTCCACACTCTCATTCTCACTCCTTACACTCAGAGGCGTTACTACTTACAGATATACCAACTCTGTGTTTGGGGAGTTTGAGTGTGAGTCACACATCACCTCACTGTAAGTGTTGCTCTTAAGAGGCTCGATAAGCAGTGTCTGCTGAACCTGGGGGGCAGCTAACACAGAGTACTGCTTGTCCTGTATCTGGCACTCCTGTCATTTCTTATACAGGCGCAGCTACAACTCCAGACAGAACGCACAAACACTACCAAAAAAAAAATAAAAATGCAATGCAAAGACGTGCGCCCTGCAGATTAAGGATGACAAGTCTTTCGCAGCCAAGATCATAGGAAACCTCGTAAACAGTCGCCAGGAGCTTTAACACCTACAGTACTGAGTGATACACACAAGTGTCCCTGGATCTCCTCTTGATCTGGGTCCTCACTGAAGAATCAGTTTCTTACCAAACACAAACCAAATCTATATCTTTGCAGTTCTGGTCACAGGAAAGGCCTCAAAACTCTTACTCCAGTAAGAAACTCATTTCCAAAATGCAAATGTTAATTCGTAATCAACAATAAATAAAAGGTGGAGGTGTGTAATATCATATCTGTTAAACAGGCGGGAAGGGAAGTTACTTGTAACTAAATTTGTTTTGAATTAGCTTCTACTAAGTCATTACACCTCATTACACTTGGGGACAGATCTCTCAGAGTTGGGATTTCTGGGAGGTCAAGTTTAGAAAACAGGTGATACTTTGACCGCAGTTAAACCTCCATCTAATGTCACGTAGATCTCTGTAGAATAAAGGTAAAGCCACACAAAACTGACCTTCACAAACTGCTTGACATTAGTGAATGCGGTGGAATACATAATCGGCCTTTATGTTGACATGTTTTCACCAATTATCTATGCAAATTTCCCCCTAAACGAGTATGCTCTGAGGAGAGGGGGGCACCTTGAACACACTCCTGCTGCATCTGTTTCAGAAATATGAAACGTGTCTGGGACAGAATGTGAGGCGGAAAAACTAGACACAAAAGTATCTGCACATCTGGAACTTTATGTTATCTATACTTGTAAACATCTGGACTTAGATCCAGCTTCCTGCTGCACCACACACACACACACACACACACACACACACACACACACACACACACACACACACACACACGTCATGTGACAACAGAGCGGGACAGCTTCACCAAGGGAAGTACAAATTTTAAACAGTGCCCTTTTTCTCACAAATAATCATTGAAATGTGTCGCACTTGAGAAGGGAACTTATCGGGTGAGATGAAACATCCAAACCTCAGGGTTTGTGTTGATTCACAGCTGAATCCATCCCCTCCTAATGGAAAATTAAACTTGTGAGAGAAATAGGGCTCTGTTAATGTTTTCTTTATAGCCTGGAAATGGAGAGATGCTGAATGATTAAAGTATGATGGATTCACATATTAAAAGACGAGCAAACTCACGCCGCCATCATTCACAGTTTGAAAAGGATATGGGCTGGAGACCATGCGGATGCACAGGCTGCGAGGACAGGTTGTCTGCTTGAGGCAGAAGAAGACCACAGGTACCAGCTCTGGGTAGGGCACTACTAACACACTGGCATCGCTGCTGCCATCATCCTCATCATCATCATCTTCATCATCCCCCTCACACTCCACCACCTCCTCTTCCTCCTCCTCCTCCTTCTCAATCCTTTCTTCTTCTTGAATAATTCCTTCCTCCTCTATTTCCTCCTCTTTCTCTTCCTTTTCCTTGGGACATGAGAGGCGGTACGGGGAGGGTCTGCGGGGGGAGGAGGAAGTGACGGCATCATCGCTGTCGCCCCTGGCTATGGCTGTTGTTACCCTGGAGATTGCTGCCGCTGACGGTGTCGTTGCTGTTGATGTTGCAACGCTGGGGCCCTCCTCCTCCTCGCTCGTCATGGCAACCCAACGGTCTGGGATGAGAGAAGAAGAGAAGACAGACAGGGGAATTTAAAATAAACTAGCAGCTCTTTGATAGGGCAGGCAACACTGAGCATACATTTAACCCCAGTGAGGAGAGAAAACACCACGCTGAAGTACACACAAAAACATTTTCTGATGTGCTACCCCTGCAGTAAGGTATGGTTGAATTCAGGCAACTAAAACTACCTTATCTAAAGGTTGCCATAAAAAAAAAGCATTGGGCTATGTTTGGGTTAGAAGAAACCAGATTTGAATGTTGGGAGGAGTGGAGTGCAAACCTTGGTCCTCAAATACAAACAAGTCAGTGCGTGGGCCAGTTCAGAGCCGGTGCCTGATCTTGAACCGGTTCTCCAGCCAAAGACGGCACTCAGGAAAATCTCAGCAATCTTAGACACCCATTTACTGCAATCGAACAATATTGCGCTTCTTCCACCTCCAGTACTGAGCAGCCACACTCACATGGCCGCAAGGAGTTGCTAGTCAGATAAACATAAAATCAGGGTAAAACAACAAGTCCTTGAATTGAAACAGCAAAATACACCATTTGTTGTTGCCCTGCAGGAGCGATTATACGGATGCGATTTCTGACCTGACACCCAGTTCTACAGGAAGACATCAGCTGTCACTGCCTTCCAAAACCATTAAAAATCACTGGCTAGAGTTTGGGAAAGATCATGTTTTGGGTTTAAATTCCAACTTGGTTAAAGAAAAAGTTAGAGTTTTTCCTCTTTTTGCTGAGTATTATACAATTTGCCATGTAACAGGGGGGTTATGTGCCTTGTGTTACGTGAGCTTTAGAGGTGCTGGTAGGTGGATTTTTGGATACAGCCAGGCGAGCTGTTCCCCCCCATTCTTTCAAGCTTCATGCCAAACTAAGCTCGCAGGATGCTGCCTTCATATTTTAACAAACAGATATGAGGTTTTCCATTGGTCTCCCCATCTAACTCACTGCCAGAAAGCAAATGAGTTTATCTCCCAAGATGACAAACTATTCCTTTTTAAAATCGAAGAGGTTGTAAATGAGAGAAGGTGGCCGAGCGCTGAAAGAGAAATAAAGGAGTACGGAGAGAGAGAGAGAGAGAGAGAGAGAGAGAGAGAGAGAGAGAGAGTGAGTGAGGAGGGAGAGTTCAGTGGTTTAGTCAGAGGCTTAGTGCTGAGAGGAATCAATACTGTGTAGCTGGAGAGAGAATAGAAAGGAGCAGGAGTCCTGATATGACTGAGTGGCACCTGCCCATAGATTTCCAATGAGCGGGCCGAAACGCATGATTCTCAATAAGAGCTGCCGAAAGCATCGAGTCCACTTCACTCGTTCTGCTGATTCTTAAAGTAGACCGTGCTCATTTAAATTATAGGTCTGTTTTCAGGCTGTTTTTTTTTACGACCACAAAAGACAGACTCTGGTTCACCACCAACAGTCGCTGACACACAATCAGACAAAGAGGAGTGAGATGATTGTAGCCGTTCACTGTCATTGTTGTTTTGAATGTAATCACGATGCAAATTACAGGTTGTGATCGACCTGTGAAGTTTCAGAGTACAACGTAATGTAAAAAATCTTCTTAAGCATCCACTTGAGTAAAAAGATTCGTATTAGGAAATACAATCGAAATTGCAATACGGCCAAGTGAAATATCCAAATCGCAGCAGCTGCATTTTTTTTTTTGGATAAAGGTAAAATGTGTCACAACATTGGTGAGGACTGTTGGCACCAGAAGCATTGTGGTGCTACAGAGACGTCCCGGCCTACAAATCATATTCTCCAGGCGTACCAAAACATTTTAACATGTTTTAAGACACAAAACAAAGTGCAAGGAGTGCTGCTTGGGTGTGAAAAAAAAGTGTGTGTCATGTTTGTTTGGTACAACACCCAACAAAAATCCCATCATCATCATTCTTAGATTTTTATTCAGTGAAAATGAAATGCAAAAAAACGAGACCACTCCAACTGAAATCGCAAAATCTGCCAAAACAGTCGCAATATGATTGCTTTTGCATATCGTGCAGCTCTGATTCAGTTTTCATTCAGTGGTTTCCACATCTATGTATTGCAGTTGCAGAGGTGCAGAACGTGACTCAATTGCTATCTCTGGGAACAAAAAGGAAATATCTCTGAGCGCGCAACTTTCAATAAAAGCTAATGAAAGCTTAATTCGACTTCAATCATAGGTGAGAGCTTCCAGCGTTCCTTAAAGTAGACTGTGTTCATTTGAGTTGTAGCTGTTGCTGATGGTTTTTTTCCCTTATTACAGGGGCAATATGGAATCAGTTTGCAGCATCAGCTCTGGCAAAGCTTACAGTTACACACAACAGATAGAAGAAAGCCTGCTAATTAGAGCCGAGATACAAGAGGAACAACATACTCAAAGACTGAAATGAGTTTCTGTTGGTAAATCAGAGGAGGGACTGAAAAAGGAGTTTTTAGTGCGAGAAAACTCAGCATCTCACGGGGTAATCATCAAGTCATTGGTAAAATAACATCAAACTATTGGATCCTGTTGGGAAATGAGGTTGTTGCAGCTGCAGAGTAATAGGAATCTCTGCAAGGGAAGTAAAAGATGAACACAAGGAGAACATAAAAGGACGCAATAAAGACACAGAGGGAATTAAAACAAAGAAATGTATGCAACAAAAACAGAATCTAAACAGTTGTGGATTTATGTAACCATATGTTGTTTGTGCTGCTGACAATTTCAGCTTGTTAAGTAAAGACCAACAACCCTGTCAAACCCTTTGCAAATTATGATGGTGTTGTGCAACGCTACATTAAAAATACCACATACTGCATTCAAAGGCTTTGTTCTCTTGTTTCTTACAGAGAACTTTGTCTGTGAAAAATGTGGACCACACTGTCTTTAATGTCATATCATTTCATTTCATAGAGGAATGCAGTGTTTAAGCAGGTAGCCCTGGTGCAGGATGGATGGCTAGATTTGACTCCAACCCTTTTTAAGGTCGGATACAATACACAATAGTCTACCAAAAAAGCAAGATGGCACACAGTTGCGAGTGAACGGGAAGATCGTAGGACCTCAAGGCGTGAGATGTGTTTAGATTTAGCGTCCCTAAGAGCGAGGTGTATCCCTTCCTTTTCTGCCACAAATATATGAGCACAGGGTTTTTTTTTTTTTTTTGTTATATAAACTCCTTTTCACTCAAGATGGGAAAGTAATGACCCGGGAGACCGATACGTCAAACTGAATTGCTAAAGATGAGCTCGTCCAAAGTGATATTGTGCTTTTCATCAAAGATACAGCACTGTTACTCTACTCTTGAGAGGAGAAAAAAGTATTCACTCTAAAAGTGACGAAAGTTTTTTCTTATGTTCTTTGCGGTGAAAAGTGACACTAAAGTTAAGAAGCGTGGGGCTTCACGCTTAGAGACCCTGAGCTTTTTCCTCTTGTCTCCCAGTAACAAGGTCTGCAGTTGGGCCCTTCTCCACTGTAACAACATGCCTGGTGCTGTCACTGGTAGCTGCAGGCTATAAAGAAAAACAAAAATACAACAATATTGTTGTAATATGGAATTTCATGAAGATTAAATGGTTGTATCACCAGAAAAACACCATGATGCTCAGTGTGACAGCAGCCCTGCCTCAAAAACAAGCAGCAGACGGTGCTGTATCATCTGCTCATGTCAGGCTGCGGACAGACACATTCATTTCTAGATAGTGTAATTTTCATGTTTTGTTTCTTGGGTGTTTTGACAATGGTGCCCCAGGCATGACGTTTATTATATCTAGCTGTTGGACTGTGGGGACCTCTGTCACAAACACAGATTCTCCTAAAACTTTGTAGCAAAACAAAGAGGATGACTAACTATAGGGTGGACTTGCTTCTTCTTGACAAGACTTACAAAAACACACAGGGATGCTTTTTATCCAACATAAAAAAATAAAATAAAATAAAAAACAAACTGGGTGATCCAGACAGGGGAATGGCAGACAATAAACCTTGCATACAAAGAAAGTGCATACTCGTCCTATTAAAAGTCCTGTCCCCATTAAAAATGCAAAGTGCTGGAGTCAGTGACACATTACTGCTCATTAGGGCCAGTGGGACGGGAGAGCTGCTGTGTACTGTCTGCAGCATCACCCTGCCATGGCTTCACTGTTTGCAGCTGTTGCGTTACAGTGAAGGCAAGTGAGGCACTTTGTATCGTAAATGTGTCCAGAAGTTTCAAACCTCTGGGCCTTTGCTGAGTGCGTAGTGAGTGCAGAGGGACTTGAACAATATAAGCCAGATTGCTCTGTGCATTCCTACTCTCTGGACCACTGCACAATGTCGCCTTCACAGCCCTGTTTTACTGTGGTTTTTCTGCATATTTCTGCCCATCCTCTGCCCACTGGCCGGTGCACACAGTGTGACACAATGAAGTCATGCAGCTGAAAGTGATACTGGACATGTTATTTCCTCTGATACACTAGCAACAGTCAATACAACACAATCAGGCAAAGAGGAGCGAGGTGATTTTTAGTTGTCAACTGTTGTTTTTGAATTAAATCATGATGAAAATTACAGCTTGTGATCCCCCTTGTCGTGTGTCAAGTTCCAGCACAATAATTGGTCACATCCTTCAGG